TACTAGTAGTAACAAGAAGCTACTAGAAACAAGTGCCTTACTAGTAGAAACAAGAAGCTACTAGGAGCAAGTGCCTTACTACTAGTAACAATTAGAATCAAAAATTGTTGCCCATGGTTCCGGGAGACCCGGATCGCGCACTCCGAGAGCGCCGCGCCGCCGCGCCTGCCCTCCTTGAGCCCCGAGAGTGCGGCCTCACGCTCCCGCTGCCCCTGAGCGAGCGTCCGAGCAGCAGAGTAGCAGCCAGCACTGAGCACAGGTGTCCTTTGAACACGAAGAGTCAGGTGCTGTACTAACTACTAGTTTGGGGTAGTGTTGTACTTGATCCTTGGGGTATTGTTGTACTACATCTTTGTACTACTAAATGTGTACTTCATCAAAACAGTTGGACAACGGATTCACTGTACCTCTGATGGCCAAATCGTCCGTAATTCGTTGAGGGCTCTATCACTCTCTTGGCAATTCGTGCCACAGTCTTCCCATGTATTGTATGAAAGCAACAAAGCACATGTCATCTGGGCTTGAACCATGTAAGTAATATCTCTCAGATGCCAAGTAGGTGCTTTGTAAGTTACTATCACTTCTTTCAAGAAGGTGCTTTGTACCTTTTACAAACAACCAAACTCAATCAGCTCTGCGCTCCTGTGAATCGTCTGAAATCATTCTGTAACACAACCGACAACCGGCTTTCTTTTGGCTGTTCTCATATACTTTACTATACTCAACTGGCTGTGGTGCCCAAAGTCGAAACATGGAGGGCGTCGCCGGAAATGTTTGTACTCATGAACTACGTAGCCCACTGGCGGGAGTTCAAAAAATGTTCATCATCCACCACTTTTTCAAAAGGGTCCCAAAGGGTCCAAAAGATAAGTCATGAGTCATGACCATAAATAGGTTTTTGATTGGTGGTTTACACTCCATAAACCTGTTCCATCCCGTCCCTGGTCATGACTGGACTTTCAGGGAAGGAACAAGTTTTTGGGGCTTTGACCGACCCTCTACTTGCCCGGGCAGGCCGCTGAGGTAGCTCGGTGCTCTTCGAACTCGCGAGAAGGGGGAGCCGTGTTAGGGGACAGCGAGATAGACCTACGTAAGTCTGTGACTGACCGCATTTTGCTAGAGTTGGTCATACCCAAAAGCACTCAAATCTAGGGTACCAGGACCTTCAAAGTGACCTTTTGTCATTCCGAGATTGAGGTGACTTAGACATACTTAGACCCTAAAAGAGGCCACCAACAGAGACTCCAAAGAGATCACTTTGAAGGTCCAAGGTCCTGGTGAAGTGCCAGGTTTTACTTGGTGTTTTGGACCTGTCGGCCCTTGGATCCTTTGCCCTTCTTCTCATGATAACGATGGTGTGTCATGAGGTTTTCGTGCTTGGGGGATGTTAACCCCCAGGCTTGGAAGAGCCTTTCCTTTCCTACCTAAGCCTGCTTGGAACTTTTGGAACCCTGGTGACATCCGCATGTCATCTGTCACAGGTGTCTCCAAACCCACCGACGGACTGGCCTTGTCACCATGCACCGCGGAGCAGGGAACGCCCTGCCTCTCCAATTGCTCGGAGAGCCTGGGTCAGGCCGTGACCAAGAGGTGAAGAAGGCACCACGTCTTCCACCAGAATGATGTTTTTAATGTTTTTATAGTTCAATAGAGTAGAGGAGTCTTACTTAGGCCTGGACCTCATGTTTGGTGACCACTAAAACTCCGTCAAAGCTGATGAAAACGAAAACCATCCCAGACACTCCATGGGACTGGAATTATATATGGCATACCCACTGGTATACCCATATACCCAAACATGGGACTTGGTTGAAGTCCAATTCGTAGGGCCTCCTCCGCCCCGGTCTCCTCCGCCGAGAGACCCGGGCGCTCCGCCCGAAGAATCGGTGACTGAGTTGGTTCGAAGGGGTGGGTCGAGATCGATCACTAGATCCGACGGAAGGTACGACCTGGAGCCGACCTTTCGAAAGAAGCTACGACTGGAGCTGTACCCAAACACTCCATGTATGACATATGATGACATATTTGCATACATTGGGGTGGAGCATCAGGGGTCAATGTAGGTCAATATGCCAGTCCCATGGAGCATCTGGGCTAGGGTAGATGGATTTCAAGGACCCTCCATCCGTCGAGAGCCAGCTCAGCTCCATCCGTCCCCGCATCCGTCGAGACGGTGCTGAAGCTGTCTCTTTCGGTGCGACGATCTGTTGGGGTTCGGAACCATGGGTTCACTGGGTGAATCAGGTGCCAAAGCCTGTTGTGCGGGGGAAACTTCAGGTGCCGACACCCCACGAAAAAGAATCATCTGCCAGCGCAGATGAACCCATGAAAAAAAAGGTGTTCTGTCTAGGTTTTCTGATACAAAGATCATGAAATAACCTGGTGTTCTTCCTCGGAAAACCCAACTGTTGGATGGTTCGTAGGGCCCCTGGTGGACATGAAACCAGTCCGCGCTGTGTCCAGAAACCACGGGACATCCATCGAGTGAGCTGGACGAGTGGCCGTCCGAATGACGGACGTCCTGGGACGGACGTCCATCCCACAAAGAAGATGGGTGGATTCCTTCGAACTCGCATAGAATCACCCATTTGCCTGGATCTTCCTTCTTGTTCACCGATTTCTGCCTGTTCATCTATTTCCACCAGCCAAGGTTGGCAGAACATTTTGCATAGTTGGAAGATCCAGGTATATATTATATAGTCTGTGGACTCCATTTTGGATCCAATGTCGACTGGATCAGTTCGAGGTTCAAAGTGTTGGACTGGATGAGTGGTTCACACATGGTTGCGGAGCATGGAAAAAGGACATGCACAAACACAGAGAGCAACAATCACCCAACCAGGAAACCCTGAGGACCTTCAAAGTAAGAGATGTAACAAGCTTCCTAGCGCCCCCGCGTGAACACCTGGGAGTTCCGAACATCAACAAATAGTAGGGGGCATGCATCGAACAGAAACCAACCAGGGGCGTTCATCCAACAGAACGAAACCCTTAGATGGTGAAAACCAAATTCTCATCGTTGCATGGAATGTCAACTTTCTCCACTCCACCGAAGATCTCCTCACAGATTCACCCGCAACCTCCGACTACTCGTTCACCCGGGTCTCCGGCTGATTGCACAGGCGCTTGGTGGAGCAGAAGATCTGGCGGGACGAGCAGAAGAGCTGGCAAATCAAACCTGAAACCGTCCCGTAGAGTCTGGACCCTTCTTAGAGTGGAACAAAAAACTGCACTGCAGCTCACCAAAAGGAACCTCTATAGTGAAGGTGGTTCCTCACCGGAAGTACCAATGGAAGGAGAGATTTCGGAACCCAAGCTTTTGGTCGACAAAGCAGCGCATCAAACCTGAAAGCCCTCGAACACTCTTTCAGGTGCCAATCCTCCGCGGAAATCTGTGACCAAAAACCATCTTAATCAGAACAGAATGCTGCGATGGGAAAGGGGCCTTCACTGGCGTATTAGTGAGCCACACATTCAACCAACCTTGAAAAGGAGAGATCAACTGAGAGTTCACAGGAGGGTTCTCACTTTGAACGCCCAAGTTAATACGAGAACATCACATCACGCTAAAGACGTTCACCCACGTTTCTTGCAGTTTTCCGATGTTTTCCATGGTGAAGGACCCCCCTTTTTTCGGTGTTCCGACTCCAACATACTCCTACCCTGCACACACCACGACCGAGCGATGGCGGTGTGAAACACGCACACTGCAGTCACTGAGGACATGTGGTTCTGGAACAACAAGTTCAACAAGTATGGCGGTGTGGTAATCCAGAACCTCCTCAAGACCACAGCCAGTCCAAGTTGCACTTGACACTTGACACTGTGTGCCTTTCATGTTTTGTCCGGCAATACTCTCAGGTTGAGATGACACCAGACACCGTCAGTGAAACACACACATAGGAGAAAGATTATCCCGGTAAGAGACCCCAAACACTGTGTGTGAGGTCTATAAGCAGAAAGCTTAGAGTTTAGAGATCTAGACGCATTGGGGTCCAGAGAGGTGATGGTGGTGATGAAGGTGGGGATCGTGGTGACGGTGGCGGTGGTGGTGAGTGAGTGAGTGAGTGAGTGAGTGAGTGAGTGAGGGAGTGAGTGAGTGAGTGAGTGAGTGAGTGAGTGAGTGAGTGAGTGAG